TGGAGAGATTCAATATGGATAACTATCTGAGTGTCGATGGTTAATCTCTAACATTCGGTAGTGAAATTGTTCATTTATATTGAGGTCATTAAAGCGCCTTTTATGAGGACATTCATACTTTGGTGATATTGGATGTTAATCTGCCAATGGTCGCTAATATGGTATCATTCGGATATGTTAAGAATCATATGAAAGTTGTGAATAATTAATAGATGATTTGTCACTTTGGATTGTAAGAGATTATGATCTACATTTCATTCAATTAAATTAATAACGAAATCCTTGACCAAAGTATACTTATAAGTCAAAAATGAGTTTTCAATTTACGTTGACTTAATAGTAGGATAAAATATATGATCGATAATTGTGATTGACACATATCCATATTTCGTAATTGATTGAACATATTTGACGAAAGGATTATAATCTCATGGTAAATGAACACATTTAGTTTTGCCATACCTACGTGACATTTTTGTCATATGCATTGTCCGACACATTGTTAGATGTCAATCTGGAATGATAGATGTGAATTGATAACAAATTAAAAAGGGGTATTTCAATATATCGATTTTGATTAGATCAAAATAATAATTCACATTGTTAGACATCGTGACTAGGAACCTGATGGATCACACACAAAAAGAGAAACAGAAGAATGAGATTCCAATTAATTAATTAAAAAGTGTTGTACAATAAATTAATTTGGTTGCTTGTTAATATGCCCGAAATAATTAATTTGATTAATTAATTCATGGACCGAATTTAATTAATTAAATATTAGACTTGATTAATTTTAAGATACATGCTAAATCCACTTGGACTTATATTAATAAGTCATTAGGGTTTCATAAAAGAAGAGAACACAATTCATATTTTTGTCACAGCCCAAAAAAAAAAAAAAAATCATAATTCACTCATTCTTGTTATCTGTGTGGATTTTCATTGGATGCTAAACAATTGGACAATTGTTGATTTTAGATCGTGATTGTTCATATTCCATGATCAGCAAAAGAGTTTGCAGAATCTACAAAAGGTACAACTTATATCACCGTTTCTTTTTAAACACAATTTTTTTTTTGTGGGAATTAAAACTTGTTTTATTTTTCACTATGCATGTTAAGTGAATTCCCAGCGATGTACACCATTGACCAACAATTTAAAATGTTCATAAATTTCATGTCAACATAAATATAAATTACTATAGGAAATCATAACATACATTTTATTTTATTATTATTCTAGTCAATGAAATTTTTTAGAATTTATTTATTTAACTAAAATTTCGCCTAAGTAAATTAAGGAATTTTTCATATAATAAAATAGATACACCAAAAGAAAGGCCAACTAAATCAACCTAGAATTTGACCTCACTGCATTACAAGTACAAACTTCGTATATGTGTAAAAGAATAGACATATAACATTAAATCTTTCTATATATAAAAAGTGCATATTTAACGGAATTTGTTGGTTTAACGGAAAAACTAACGGAATTTGTTGTTTTAACGGATTATGTAACGGAATTTCTTATTTTAAACAGATAGCTGCACTTTCTTTCAATGTTTTTATCATAACTTTGTATTCCGATATTCGAATGAGGAGATTCAAAATGCGTTGGAAAGCTAACCCATCTGACTACAACTTTGATTCAGACATCATTCTCCAATTTGATCACTTTCTATGCCAAAAATATGTCTCAATATAACGGATTATGTAATGGAATATTTTGTTTTAAACAGGCAGCTGCACCTTCTTTCAGTGTATTTATCATAACTTTGTATTTTGACATCCGATTGAGGCGATTCAAAATGCATTGGAAAGCTAACTCATCTGGCTAAAACATTAATTCAGACATAATTCTCCAATTTGTTCACTTTGTATGCCAAAAATAGGTCTCAATATAACGGACTATGTAACGGAATTTCTTGTTTTAAACAGGCAGCTGCACCTTCTTTCAGTGTTTTTATCATAACTTTGTATTCCGATATCCTATTGAGGTGATGCAAAATGCGTTGGAAAGCTAACTCATCT